AGATTGAGGTTTAAGATGCCACAGAATTCTTGTATTATCTTTACCTTCTAAAATTGATTTACAGCTTGTGCCTTTATGACAACGTAATACTTATGAACTTAACTTTCGTTTGAACAAGCAGCTAAAGGAGATTGATGCTTTCCTAGCAAGTGGCAAAGAGTCACTGGATCCCCCAAAGGTAGGGTTTGTTTTTTTTTAGAAAAATATACAATCATCTAGCTTTGACGGACAACCTTATATGAATTTTTCTACTGACAGAAGGCGGTGAGGGGAACCAAATGAACGATTTCAGGATTTGGGGATTAAAAAAGGGATGAAGAGGTTGAGGAAAAGTTTAAGAGGATAATTAATCTAATAGAGAAAAGGGGAGGAGGCACAATTGTATGGTGTTTTTTTTCATTTTTTCATTTCTTTCTAGTTTCTCTATCTTAAAACATTGAAAAAAATCATACACAAATGGATATGTAGATGATAGATACTGGTAGATAGATGAGAGAGAGAGAGAGAGAGAGACAGACAGACAGACAGACAGACAGATGGATGATGGATGGATAGGTAGAGAGAGAGAGATGAGTAAGAGAGAGATGATGGATGGGTAGGTAGGTAGAGATAAATGAGAAAGAGAGAGAGGGATGATGGATGGGTAGGTTGATAGAGATAGATAGATGAGAAAGAGACATGATGAATGGATGGATAGGGAGAGAGAGAGAGAGAGATGTAGATGATGGATGGGTAGATAGGTAGAGATAGATGAGAAAGAAAGAGAGAGGGAGGATGGATGGGTAGGGAGAGAGATGAGAGAGAGAGAGAGAGAGAGAGAGAGAGAGATGATGTATGAGTAGGTTGATAGAGATAGATAGATGAGAGAGAGAGAGAAAGAAAAGAGAGAGAGAGAGAGAGAGAGAGAGAGAGAAATGCAGATAGTCTTTTACTTTGAGCCCAAAATTTCTGTTGCTAAGTAATACATTTGTTAATTGAAGTTTGCTCCATTTTCCAACCTTACAACCCTGCAACCATCATAAAGTGGCCAGGCATCTGAATTTTGATACTATGATGGGAAGAGTGAGGCAGCATTCGTAAAAACAGTCAAAAGTCCCTCTTTTCCGTGCCATTGTGAGTTCAAATGGTCACTAAAATGAACTATCGTAGGTCGAGGTCTACCTGAACATTGCACTTTGTGATTTCGGAGCCTGCTGGAGGGAATAATTGTCTGCGGGTCGCTTCGACCAATCCGGCATCTCTGCAAGAATTTGACACCCTTACAGGTTTTGGATAAGAGCAACAGCATCTCAAAGGGACCCTCGTGGTGCCATTGTGTGTTTTGGTCATGAGCCATAGAGCTGTCATGGAAGGCATGTTCTTAGGCTGCTGGAAGAAATGTGGCTTGAATCAGAAACCGTGTTAACGTCTTGTGGTTTCTGGCTTGGCACAGGAGGCGTGAGCTGGGGTTGCCTACGGCTGACCTTTGGGCTAAAGATGGCTCCTGCCCACTGAAGCCATTCCTCTCGCTTGGGTGGCGTATGGATGGGGTCTGTAGAGATTCTCAGCCCTCCAGATCACGGTTGTCCCAAAGGTGCTTTTTTTCAGGAGGCAACTGGACTTTCTTGTTTTTCTTTGAAGACATTTCATATGGATGGGGTTTGTTCTGCAAAGGAAAAAACTTTCCTTCCTTCCTTCCTTCCTTCCTTCCTTCCTTCCTTCCTTCCTTCCTTCCTTCCTTCCTTCCTTCCTTCCCTCCCTCCTTCCTTCCCTCCCTTTTTCCATCCTTCCTTACTTTTCTTGCTTCTTCACTTCTCCCTCCCTCCCTCCCATTTCTCTCTCCTTCCTATCTCTTTGCCTCCTTCCTTCCTTCTTTCTTCTCCTCCCTTCTTCCCATTTCTCCTTCTTTTGTTCCTTTCCTTCCTTCCTTCCTTCCCTCCTTCCTTCCTTCCCTCCCTTTTTTCCATCCTTCCTTACTTTTCTTGCTTCTTCACTTCTCTCCTCCCTCCCTCCCATTTCTCTCTCCTTCCTATCTCTTTGCCTCCTTCCTTCCTTCTTTCTTTCCTCCCTCCCTTCTTCCCATTTCTCCTTCTTTTGTTCCTTTCCTTCCTTCGTTCCACCTTCCCTCCCTCCCTCTCTCCATCCTTCCTTCCTTTTCTTCCTTCCTTCCTCACTTCCCTCCTCCTCCCTCCAATCTCTCTCACTTGAGACTTTCAAGAAGAGATTGGACTGCCATTTGTCAGAAGTGATGTAGGATCTCCCGCTTGGGCGGAAGGTTGGACTAGATGACCTATAAG